AACCATCAGTTTACAACTGGATCGCCTTAGCCGCATAAGGCTGCTGCCTGGTTCAGGCAAGCTGCCCCAGGATGAGAAATTCCTGTCTCCTGAGCCAGAAGGCAAGCCCCAGGAGAAATAAGACCCCAGGACATAAAAACTCCTGGGAAGCTTCCTTGGTTTCTTTGAATAAAAAAATAAACTTCAGATAAGGCTCCCAGGGCATAAGGACTAATGGACAAATTTTAACCTTGTTTACACAGATGTTGTTTGATATACAACTGTACAACTTTCTCTTAATTTACTCCTTTTTAAAACAAGCACTAACTGCTCTCTGCTAGCCTTAAATTAGCCATTAGTTTTTCTTTAGACAATCGCTGATAACACTGCTAACACAATTTATTACTACCCCAAGACCCCTAACAACCTTTTGCTAACAAGCTCACCCTTTCCCAGACCCCTCTTCCTTTGAGTGATAACTAGACAGCTGTATACATGATAACTATCACAAAACGTATAATCTATTATACCATAAATTGTTAAGAGAATAATGGTTTTTCCCCTTGTCCTTGAGAACGTTTTATGGTGATATCTCATTAACTTACCCTATGCATTATTACAATTAACCACTTGTTACACAGTATAAACAAAGACCTGCTGAAGGAATGGCAGGAAGACTTGCACCCTATCCTGACTCCATGTCTTCCTCGCGTCCACTCCCCTCTCTCCTTTTTGGAATCTCCGCTCGCCAATTCCCATTTTAGGGTCCTGCCTGTGCTGCCTCAAGACACCCCAAAAGTTGGAGCTGGTCTCCACAAAATACATTTGAAAACAAATAAATGGAGATACATTATTTTTAAATGTGTAGCATCATAAAAAGTATCTATTCCCAAATTAATCTGTCAACATAAGTCCCATAAAAACCACTTAACAGGCATTTTCCTGGAAGCTGACAGACTGAATAAAGAATTTATATTAAAAGTAAAGAAGACAAGTCAAAATGATTTTGATGAGTAAGAAGAGTGGGAAGAATTGACTGACAGGTCATCAAGTCTTTTATAAACCATAGTAACCTAGCCAGTGTGCCACTGACATGGACCCACAAACACAGAGATGAGATGGGAGAGCCCACATATGACAATATATGACAGCCACGACATCATGATCAGGGAAGGGTGTACTAGTCAGTAAGTCGTTATTTACAGATGGGGAAAAAACTGGATCTCTGACTTATAAACTCAACAAAAACAAAACCAAACAAAACATCTGGATGGATAAAAGACCTAAATGTGAAAAACTTCCAGAAGAAAATACTGGAGAAGGGGAGGATTTCCAAAATGAAACACATAAAGCACTGACTACAAATACGTAAAAGTTTTTTATATTAAAAAACAAAACTTCTTTAAAAGCTTGGTGTTATCCTGCCTTTTGCAGCAACATGGATGGAGCTGGAAGAGATCATGCTTAGTGAAATAAGCCAGAAAGAAAAAGAAAAGTACCGGATGGTTTCACTCATAGCAGGAGTATAATGGACCATGGCGGGGGTTGGGGGGGAGAGTAATAATGAACAACTATATGCCAGAGACATTTTATGGGGGTCTGAAGGGGGGAGGGGGGAGTGCACTGGACTGTGGTAATAGCAGAGGGGTGATTTGGTGATGCGAAGCCCACAGGGATTACAACTGAGATGGAAAAAGGCACAAAATGATGTAAAAATAAACTATTATAATTTTTAAAAAGGTGGCGGTATATTATCATATGAAGCTTTTGAACATGTTTGAAATGTTTCTCCTTATTTGTTAGATATGAGAGGCTTGGAACCACCAACTAGTATTTGATATAGCAGAACAGTGGCCATAACATGAATCTGAGAATCATTGGTCTTTTGAGAACTGAGGCTCAAGTTTGCTGAGCCTCAGTTTAGGTTGTTGATCCTTATGTAACAATTTGGAGGTTCATACTTGAAGGTGGAGGAATAAAATAATGTCAGGCACTTGCTTCAAAACTACCTGGAAGTGAGGAAATGACTTCTATTGTTGAAGCTGGATAGATGGATAGATGGAATTTCATTAAATTTTCCCCTTCTGGCATATGATAACTTTTCAGAAAAAAAAAGTTGCACAGGGGGAAAAAGAATAGGGTACAAGGGTACCAGTTTTCATCCGCCACTTTAGCAAGCATTTAAAAATCTGATAATTTTTAAAAAGATTTATCTATTTATGCATACAGAAATTGGATACAGGCCAGAGGTGCAGGGGCAGCAAGAAGATTCACCAGAGACAGAGTGGGGAGCAGAACAGGCAGATCGACAAAGTACACTGCTGAGGGGAGCAGCGGGCAGGTCAGGAGAGGTCTGCCGCGCCACGTGGGTCACCTCTGGGGTGGGGAATTGAACTCGCACTGAAGCAGCCACAGCTTGGTTTAGTTTTGCAGTGCAGTGCTCCAACCTTCTGTGCCCCCAGGGAGGGCCCAAAAATTGGATAATTTTAAGTTAGTGAGAACAGGAAAAAGTGAGAACTCTTACACACATGTGATGGGAACATAAATCCTCATAAATTGGAAAAAAATTTCCAAAGTGATGGTATTTTACTCCCCAGCTCTTCTCCATCTAGGCTATGTCTTAGAAATTTACTTGTAGAATTGCACAAAGATGTTCATGTTTTAGTAGCCAAAAAACTGGAAACAACCAAAAGGCCATTTATAGAAGAATGTGTGACTCAACAGTGGTATATTTACATAATGGAACAAAAGGAAATTAACCAGGCTTCATGCATTAGCATGGTGAAGTATTGTAAACATGGTAAACCAAAAAAATAAAAGGAATTTGCAGAATGCAAATATAGTACTGTATATATAAAGTATTAAACCATGAGAAAGTAAATATGTTGTCAGGAATGCACATGTGTGATACATTTATAGAAAAAAAAACTAAGAATGATCAATTCCAAATTCAAAATAGTACTTGCTTCTGGTGGGAGACAGGAGAGATACAGCCAAGGGCAAATAGCACCACAGAGATCTTCGGTGGATAGTAGGTACATGGGTGGACATTATATTAATTTTTTTTTTGTATGTAATCAGATAAGTCATAATCTATAATGCTTTTTTTTTAAAATATATACAAAAAAACTGAAACATTGTAAAATAATGTCATATGTGGTAGAGAAAATGAGACAAGGTACAAAAGTACACCTTGGGAGACTGAGAAACTCACTTCCAAAGACACACTTGAGAAGAATGGCATGTGCAGGTATACACGCATCTTCCAGAACAAAACAGGAAACAGCTCAGCCCAGAGGTGTGAAAGCATCCTTCCAGCCAGACCGCTTACAAGGCCCCAGCAGTGAAAGCATCCCTGGATGGACTTTCGATTCCAGGTAGACTGAGCTTTCCTCCCTTGACCCTGCTGCTCCCACTGTTGTCTACTCAGGAGGGTTTCTGGGTTTGAGTCTTTAAAGACACACACACAATAACAACCAAAAAACTGCAGTGCAGTGCTGACTGTCGCACAGCTGTGTGAAGGAGCTGGATGTCACTGGGAAGGCAGAAGTGGGAGTGTGGAAGGTAGCTGCTGCTTTGTGCTGATGCACATTCCCAGGCCTCCCAGCAGTTCCAAGCCCCCACTGCAGGAGGAGCGTCTCTACCAGGGCCCGATTCCAGGGCAGGGACGTAGGTGCACAGCAGAATTCGTGTCTACTTCGGTAGAAGGCCAAACGTTGGTGATCTCTTGCTGTTGTACCTCTTACCATCTTCAGTTTCCAACTTCCCCCTCATCTTCCTGGGGAGTCCCCAACTTCCCCATGGTCTTCCTAGGGGAGTCCCCAGCCTCCTCATCACCTTCCTGGAGGCATCCCTAGCTTCCCCATGTGCTTCCTGGGGGCCCATAGGGATGGAAACCTGCTGGGCATCTGACCCAGCTGTCAAGGCCCCGCATGGGCTCTAACTCAACCGCCAACGTGGCTTCAACTTAGTGAGTCCCGTGGTGGTAGAAGCGTCAGCTGAGTGTCTGCAGATCTGAAAAAGACCAAACAGAATCACGGGCTTGTCACCCTCCCCAAACCTCAGTATCTTGTTTCCCCCCAACGGGCCCCCCACCACCACTCCCAGCTTTTATATCTGTTACTGTCAAAGCCACTGTGATAAAATGCCCCTCCCCTGGCTTCACTATGAGTCTTCCCTATTGTTCTGCACACTTAGGTGTACTAAACCAGCGTTTAGTAAAGCAGTGTTCGCTGCTGCTGCCGCCGATGCCAGCGTTGCTGGTGGTCCCCTTAAGTGGCAGTGGTGGGGTGGAAGATGCGACTGAGCTGGCCTTTTCCCAGCTCTTGGTGAGCATTTCCAACCTGACAGCAGTGAAAGCAACCTGATAGTATCAAGCATGACAGTAATGGCTAACATTTATTGTTAGGAGTATTTCCCATGTGACAGGCCAGGTTCTGAACACTTAGTGTACATACTTACTAGGTATGTACTGTTAACCTCCCTTACCTTAAGGAAACCCAGGCATAGACGGGTCAAGTGCCTTGCCCATACACCAGTGTCTGCCACGTGGCATCCTGAATTACTACAAAGTGGCATCTGAAGCAGATCAGACAGTTGTGACTGAGCTCCTCCTCCCTCTGCCTGCCCTCCACAACTTACAATGCAGGACAGCATTCTTGACTTGGCAGAAACCGCCGTCAGGGCCCCGGCCATCCACAAAGTACATGAACCGCAGCTCAGCGGGGCAGCTGGCTTTGGCGAGGCCGGCCAGCAGGGGGATGGTGCGGCCTTCTGCCCCGGGGGCCTGGCTCAGGGCCTGCAGCATCTGGTATTTGCACCATGGGTCCCGGAGGAAGCCTGGGGTGATGAGCAGCACCCTACAGTGACTGTTGCTCAGAGCCTGGCACAGCTCGGACACAATGGCGCCGCCTGGGGTTGCATCCCGGAGCTGCAGGAAGCAACGCAGGCTGGCAGCGCTGCCCTCCAGGTAGGAGACCAGCTCCTGGGCGACTGCCAGGTCCTCCTCGCTGTGGCACACACAGACATCATAGTCCTTGCTCCAGCGTCCGCTGCTGCTGCTGCTGCTGAGGCCAGTGCTGCTGGTGGTACCCTCAGGTGCTGGTGCTGGGGTGGAAGACGTGGGTGAGCTGAGATCAGGAGTTGGGGGGTCAGTCTGTGAGCTTGGCTGTGACACGTCCCGGGAGGTGCTTTCTGCTGAGTCGGGCATCTTCTTGGACTTCTTCGACAGGACCTGCCTGAACCAGTCTGCGGAGGAAGACACACTGCTGGGCCTGGTATGCTTCCCCTGTTGCCTCCCGGTCGCCCCATGAAGGAGCCAGAGACGGAGCAGGGCCCCAGCCTCTCTTCTCTGCACTGGCAAACTACACATTCCTAGACGCCAGCTGCTCTGCTGTTACTGTGCATCCTCCAGACTTGCCTGAGTTTCCCCACTATCTTCAAAGGCTCCAGAAATATGTGAGCGCTCTTCCTGTTTTGTAGACTAGCTGGGAAAGGACCTTGGTGTGTTTTTTGGTACCCAGCCTGCCCTAACCAGAACAGCCCTAGGACTGTGCCCTAGTCCCGCACAGCCTAACTAGTCAACCGCCGTGAGCCTTTAAGTAGCGCAGTGGGAATCTGGGACAGACAATTCGGTGCCCCAGCCCACTCCCAGGCCTGAGGGAAATAGGTTTAGATCAAGGTTGGCTACCCATTATGGGGACAAATGTGGGGCAGGACTGGGACCTAGCTGAGAACCAACAGCCGAGAAATCCAAGGTTGTTGTCCAACTGTATTACAGCTCTCTCTTGACTTGGCTCCTTCCTCTGAATGGTTCGGAAGATTTAGATGCTAACAGACACAAGGTTACACACCATGGTTCCCAGGCTAGGGGAATTAGCCAAACATACCTGGAAAGCCTGGGAGCCAAAAAGGACTATAGGTTCCACTGACGCTTGGCTTCTGCTCACCCACCACAAAGAATCCAGACACTATGGTCAGGCTGGAATCACCCAGGCAGCCCTCCCTCCAAGAGGAATGCTGAGGACCCCATTTGTAAGAGCAGAATTAGGAGTCCATTTTCTCTTACCAGCCATCTTGCCCCGGGGTTTCTTGGACCCAGAGGGAGGAGCTGGGGAGGAGGATGCCATAGTGTTGGGCTCAAAACTAACCCCATGAGACCAGGCATTGGGAAAGAGGGAGAAGGGTGGAGCTACAATCTCGAAGTCATGGAACAGCCATCCTACAAAGTACAGAAAGAAAGAGAGGATCAGAAAAGCTGCACTCACCGTTCTCTGTCCCGGGGGGTGGACTCGGCACGTCCTTTCTCTCTTAAAGTCTGGAAGAGGCTCAGTCATTAAATGGGTCCCTCATCTCTTATGGGACCAGGGTACCAGGTACCACTGAGATTGGCGCTGGTTTCTAGGTTAACCCAGATGTGGTCAGAGGTATGGTCAGACTTACAGAGTAAGGGCTCCGCATGCCCAGTAAAGGGACTGCTCTCTGCTCCACCTGGTCTGGAGCGCATTCGGGGTGGGGGAGGGCAGCAGGCAGGCAGCTCGGTATGCAGATTTCTGGCCTAAGTGCTGAAGTGGATGAAGGATAATAGTTAGTATGTGGACAAATAATGATATGTGCAGGTTGACAGATGCTGAACAGAAGAGAGTGAACCCATGCAAAAAACCTTGGGAGAATTCCTCTAGGTCTACCTTCCAGTAAATTATTCCTTCTATCCATCCTTCTGTCTGTCCATCCATCTGGTGATTCATTCATCTATTCATCCCCTCCCTTCCAACCCCTTCCTTCCCTTTTGCCCTCAGCTGTCAGCTTAGGAAGATGACAGCTGTCGCATAGTGATGAAGAGTACAGACTTTATGTGGGCTGCCTGGATTTTTACTTCATATTAACTGTGGCCTATGACAAGTGACTTAGTCTTACTAATCTTTAGTTTCTCTGTGAAATAATACCAGACCCTGTTTCTCAGCATTATTTTGAAGATTGCACGAGATCATTTATGTAAAGTGCTAATGATGCATAGTATATAATGTTCAGAAAATAGTGCAGGTTAGTATGTATTTAAACCAGTTGCGATCTGGGCCCTCTCTGGTGGCACAATGGGTTAAAGCACAGCACTATGAAGCCCTATGACAGCCACTGCAGCACGAATCAATCCCCAGCCAGGTAGGTGATCCACATGGCGTGGCAGACCTCTCCTGACCCGCCCGCTGCTCCCCTCCGCAGTGTACTTCATCGATCTGCCTGTCCTGCTCCCCTCTCTGTCTCTGGTGAAGCCTCTCACCACCCCTGAGCCTCTGGCCTGTATCCCAGTTTTGTATGCAT